TCTTTTAGTACACTTTTACTAAGAAAAATATCAATGAGCAAGTCATGTTTAAAGTGCTGGTGGCTTGGTGTTATAATCTATTGGGTTGATGTTAATGAATTCACCATGCTTTGAATGCATTTATATATGTGCTAAATTTATATATATGCTAAATAGAACCATTTAGTTATTATATTTTATATTGATGGAAATAGTATTGCCTTGCCAGTTCTCCAGTTGAGCCAATAACTTTGATCTTATCTTTTTTAACCTTGGGTTATATTTGAAGTTATGGATGCCAATCCTTGCTAATTTGAGTGCCGTGCAAGCCACTGAATACGGTCTTAATTAAGGATATCTTGTTGTTGCTGTTCCTCACCTTACTATAGTATCACTGCTTGATCCTTGATTGGATCAGATTAGTTTATAAAATCCAGTAGGCATATCATTTAACTGTTTTATGGTTGAGCATTTATGTAAGATTGATGCGGACTTTTAATGCATTGTCCAACTACAATGGGCTATTAATGTTACTAAGTAACTGGAACTACAAAAATAATTGTTAAAACAATTATGTATCTCAAATACTATTTTCTTTGAGATAATAATAATTTTGGTACGTGTCTGTAAATTAATTCCTAAAGGCCTTGGTGAGGATATCATGCATGTCTCAAGCTGGAAGGACATAACCAGACCTGGTTCTGAAATTTGGTAGCATCTTAGTGATTAACTTAGATTAATGAAGCAAAATTTTCAGTAATTTTTACTGAGCGTTTGGAGGTAATGTGTTCACGAGTTAGTTGAATTCCTTAAACAGACTTCTGTTGTTACAAGTACATCAGTACCAATATTTCAATTTGGCCAGAATCTGTGTATTCTGGAATTATTCAGGAATTCAAATAGAAGAGGGAAAAAAATATACCGAATTGGCATTTGAAAAGTTAATATCAAGGGAATGATGAGTGCAGTAGCTATGCATGATATAAGAGCCTTCAATTGTCAAGTGATATGTTGCTTGTAATACGATTGAATAGCCTATTTTAGTAAATCATATTTTGGCGATTATTAGATGAAGAAGACTATCTTCCAGGGCAGTATGACACGATTTAGTGGTGGAAATGTAGTAGAGAAATACTAGGTCTAAGTGTGGTTAATGGGAGTGATGCTGTATGGAGTAAAGTATATTCAGGTAGTCTTATTTTCCCACGAGTCTTATTTTTCCCGTTATTTCCTTTTCTCATGAATTTAGAACGCAACTATTTGAAAACCTTGGCCTTTTGATTTGAGGGAAAAAACTCTCTTCATTTTAATTACAATAATATCACCTTATTTTTACTTTTTAATGTTTTCTGAAGTTTGTACAAGAAACAGTGATTATAGAAAGAAAATCATATTTTTATACAATTTTTTTTAAAGCAGGAAATAAAATAAATCCAAAGTGACATTTTTATAATTAAAAAAGTGAAAAAATAAAACTTTTTCTTGAACCAAACGCCCCCTGGCATTTCTGAATGTAAATTAGTAATCATTTTAACGTAGCTTTAGAACTATTTTGCCCACATGTTCATCCTCCATCTTTATCACCATTGCTGATGCTACTTACTGCTCAAGACTATTATGCCCTTCTGCACTGATATCTAGTTTCAATTGTCTTAACAGGCACTGTTGCTTGTTCTATTATCATAGTTGATAGCTTCTAGAACTTCATTATTTGTTGACTTTAATGTATACCATACCATCACTTTGCTCAGCCATTACACGATATTTCCAGTTATCAGTGCACTGTGTCCATTATCTCCTACCCTTCTTCTGACTGATCACTATCACCTTTTTCATTTTAATAGTAAAAGATACTTTGCATCAGCTTTGCTACCAATGAAAATGGATTGGTCGTTGCCCCCACTTTGGGGGCGAGGGACAAGGGGCTGATGATGGGTATCTATTACAAATAATTATCTGAAAGCTTATGTTAGGTAAAACTGAAAGTACTCAAGTACATGGAATGGTACTTTTATTTCATATCCAACATTACCATTTATTAAATTGGCCCATTAGACAGTATTTGCTTGTTTATGTTGTATGTTCACCTGTACTAAAACTATATTATACATTTGTTGGAACAATTATTAATGGTAACCCTTTTCAGAATTGCTTGTGATGATGAAGAAGAAAGAGCAAGTCGTAGAGTTTACAGGGGATGCACTCGATCTCCAACATGCAAAGGTTGCACTTCTTGTGTGTGCTTTGGGTGTGATATCTGCCGCTTTTCAGATTGCAGCTGCCAGACTTGTGCTGACTTTACAAACAATGCCAAAGCTTGACTCCCTCTCTACATTCTGTTATTTCCCCACTTCTTCATTTGGGCTATATTTATGCCTCCCTATAAGAATGTTTAATTTAATTTCCTAATTGCACGTTACCAGTCTGACTGAGTTCACCATTCATTGTTCTCGCTGTGACTGGATCATAAATTTCAATCTTAGCAATTTATTCTCTTTCCCAATGTTTATAATTTCTCTCCATATGTTTCTTTATATGCATTGAGTAGTACCGTTGAACAAATTGCATTTTTGGTCTTAGTCTCCTATTTTAAAATAGTGATATTTAGTAAAATAGTGAGTGATATTTAGTGTGTTTGGATATTGTTGATATAATTAATTTTAAATTGACGTGAATTTTCAGTATTGATCGAGTAAAAGAAAGTTAAAAGTAACTTAATTTTTGATTGAATACTAAGAAATATAAATTTGATTTTTATATTGAATATTGTTTGAAAATTTCTTATCAAAATTGATTTTAAGTGTATAATTATAAATTTAGATAAATAGTCTTAAAATTGATAGTTTGTCGTAGAAATTATTAATAGTTGCTTTTAAATAGATGTAAAATTTCATATCTTAAAATCAATTTTTGTAATAGTCAAATATGTTACAAATATAATTTGGTTATTTTAAATGTAATGGAATTAATTTTAAATGGTTGATGTGGAATCAAACATGCCCTTATTCCTTTTTTTATATATAAAAATATTAAATATTAAATTTATTAGATTTAAATATGTTTTTAGTTTTTTAAATTTAAGATAAATTTATTTTTGGTTCTTCAAATTTAAAATTATTTTTATTCCCTGTAATTTTTAATAATATATTTGAAAGTAATAAATTAAGATGATTATGTAATATTTATTGGATAATATGATATTTTTACCAATAAAGACAAATAGATAGATTTTATGCAATAATATTTGATAAATTTCTTAACAAAATTTGAATATAAGGATTAAAATAAGATTTTTTTTTTAAAATTATAGAGAATAAACATCAATTTTAAATTTAAAAAATCAAAAATAAATTTATCCTAAATTTGAGAGACTAAAAACATATTTAAACTAATTTATTATTAATTTAATATTTATTTATTAATCATTAAATTTTAACATTTAATTATTTAAATGACGTGATATATAATGACATAATATGTAAAATTAAAAATTTTAAAAATAATTACAAAATATTTGTTTGTGTTTATTTTAATGAATGATTAATATTTATTTTGTAAATAAATTTTATTTACAAATTTTTAGTTTTTATATTTTTTAATATCTTGTGATTATATGTCACATCATTTGACAAGAATAAATACTAAAATATAACAATTAATTGATATTAAAATTAGGTAGTTTTGATGATAATAAAAAAATTAAATATCTCTATTTTATAATAGAGACTAAAATTGTGAATTATCAAAATTAGGAGGACAAAAAGTTTGCATGAATTTTAAAATATTGAAAAAGCAACAAATTATAATGTCAATTTGTGATTAAATGATATCTTCAGAAACTCTTTGAATTGTATGGACTGTTTTCTCTTGTCTACATATCATATCTTATATGATAAAAAAAATGTTGAAAAATGGTAATACAGTAATGATTTTATAAGCAATTGATGGTGACCAAGCCATAGTAATACAGTAACCGACAGCTCCGTGTTTTGGACAATTATTGCTTAGTCGATGTGCTCTTTATAAGTGCTCAATGATTTCAATGTAGTCTTTAAAGAATTGGACATGTTAGTCCTTCATGAGTGTGCTTACTTTATATATTAGCCACATGTTGCTCCACGAGTTGTAGCCAAGGGAAAGAGGGCTTTCTATAGCTTGCAAGTGCTGG